GATTCATTCTACTATCTTTTCTATTCCCATTCTCCTCCGTTCTCTTCATTTTCCTTTGTCTAAGTCAATGAACTTCTATACTTCCTCTCCCTACCCTCCCTTGTTATGGGTTAACATCCACATATCAGACAGAATATTCAACTATTGTTTTGGGGGGGTCTGGTTTATTTCACTTAGCATGATATTCTCCAGTTCCATCCATTTACCCGCAAATGCCATAATTTCATTCTTCTTAAAGGCTAAGTAATATTCAATTGTATGTATGTACCACATTTTCTTTATTGATTCATCTGTTGAAGAACACATAGTTTTGTTCCATAGTCTAGCTATTGTGAATTGAGCTGCTATAAACATTGATGCAGCTGTGTCACTGTGCTGATTTTAAGACCTTTGGGTATAAGCACAGGAGTGGGATAACTGGGTCAAATGGTGGTTTCAATGCAAGTGTTCTAAGGAATACCCATACTACTTTCCAGAGTGGTTGGACAAAATTGCAGTCCCACCAGCAATGTATCAGTGTACCTTCTTCCCCATATCCTTGCCAACATTTATTGTTCCTTGTATTATTGACAATTGCCCCTGGGGTTACAGGCATACACTAACATGCCTGGATGGTGCACTACCATGACCAGTCTCTTAACATCTTTTCTCCATGGTCAACTTTGTTTTCAAGATTATATATTTCATCTTCATTGCTGTCTTCCAAAGGTCTATTCTGTTGGTGATGCTTTCCATTGAATTCTTAATTTGATGTATTGATTCCTTCATTTCAAGGCTTTCTGCTTGATTTTCTTTCAGAATCTCTATATGTTCATTGAAGTGATCTTTCAATTTCCATATTTTGTTTCTGATTTCACACCTTACATTGCCCTTTATTTTGCAGATCAGTTTGACTATGTTTATTTTAAATTCCATCTCTGACATTTCTTCCACTGTGGTGTCATTAGAATCTGTTATTGAAGTATCTTTGTTTGTTTGGGGTGATTTGTTACCCTGATTTTTCATGTTATTTGTGTGTCTACTCATCTATCTGGATGGATCTGATGATGTAGAGTTTCTATGTTATGGATTTATACTGTTCTTCTATGTTACTAGTATTTCACAGATTGGGGGGAGTCCCTTATAGCAACGAGTTATGCAAACAATATATAGCAGTAGACTAGATCCTTAATTCCTATTTTAATATCGAGTGTTAATTGGTACAATACGTTGACAGTGGAATCCTGAATTTCCAACAGTAAAAATAGTATATAGTCATGTATTATGGCTGGCTTAAAATCAAACAATAGGTGCTGTCCATGGCTTCTGCTGTATTAATTATTGATGTGACATTGGTGGTAAGGGGAGATGTTCTATACTTCAGTTAGTGTTAGGAAGTGTTAGGGATAGAGTTTAGTACATGTAAAGAATAAGAGATAGGAGGATAGAAAAATGTTTGTAATTTCAAAGGGTGAATAGGGCTGATGCAGTGGTAACTTAGGATATGTTGTTGGCTTGGAAGGGTACCAAAAATAGAAGAATATAAAGGAGGAGAGAGAGAGATAATGGAATTTGGTGTCAAGAATGTAGAAATGAGAAGGGGAGACAAGGGTGATGGTCTTGATAAAGATGATACAGAACAAAGTCAAAATAAGCTAATCATAACCCCTAACCTCAAAATACAGAGCATGGGAAAATAACACCTTTGGGGAAAAAAATGATAAAACAACAACAACAACAAAATCTACAACAACAACAGACCCCCCCCAAAAAAAATGAATGAAATAACAACAACAACAAAAATAAAGCTAGAAATAAGGAGAGAGAGAAACAAATATGATTATGCATAGGAGTCCTTGAATCAGTCAGTACACATTCAAATACAAGAAAAATCCAATATGGAAACCTTAAATAAGAAAGCAAAACAGAACTACTGCCACAACAAACAAGCCACAACAGCAACAACAAGAACAAAAAAGAAAAATCTTGGTGAAATATTAAGAAATTAAGGAGTCGTATCCACTGTGGTGGGCAAAATAGTGAGTGTATGTGTGCACTGACTGCCCACTTGGTTTTCTTTTTGTTTCCTCTTCAAGTATGATCTATGGGCTGTGGGTTGTGTGTCTTTCCTTTTTATTGTGTTGCTCACCATATTGAAGGTTGGGGTTTAAAACTTCCTAATTCCCCTTCTTGGGAGATTATTGTGGGCAAGCTAGGCTGCAGACCTGGAGGCAGAGTGGAATGCTGGGGAAGCTGAATTGCAGGATGGCAGCAAAGCAGCTAGCCATCTCCATGGGGCAGGTGGATCAGGGCCTGGTGCTTGATCCTGGGGACTGGCCAGTCATGAAACTTCATGCTGGACCAGGTGGGTCTTTTGGCAAAGCAGCTGGGTGGATCAAGGCTGGCCCCAGGACCTGCAGGCTAGCCACAAAATTGCAACCAATGGGCCAGGTCAGGGGCCAGGGAGGGGTTGGGAGACTAGGGTGCTGGAAGGCCCTATTGGGTACCAAACTGATGCCGGACCTGGTGGGTCCCAGGAACTAGTGGATACTGAACTGGGGAGGGAGTCAGGGACTTGGCTGGTACTGGGACCCCGTGAGTGCCAGCCTAGGTGAGCCACAGGAACCTGGTACATACTGGACCTGTTGGTTGCGCAAGCTGAAAGCAAAATGCCCTAATGCCTTTTTACAACCATCTGACCCACTATAGCCAGCCCTGTCAATCCCCACCAGCCTCAGAACTCACAGAGCTAGGGAGAGCCCGATTCTCTCCAGCCTCTCTAACCTGTGTTTCCCTAGGTGATATATTCCCAGCTTCTGACTTTCCACAGGTTTGCTAGGCTTACACAGGCCTACACAGACCTAGCTGCAAACTCACGGATCTGGGTTTCCAGTTTCCATAGGCTACACTGGCTGGTGGAGAGGTTTTTGTTTTGTTTTTATCTGATTAATGAGTCAAACAGTCTCTGAATCCCTCCAGTCTCAGGATTTTTTTACTCTAAGCCTGTGGGAGATGTGGTATTCTCACGGTTTCAGTTCTGGGTAGCCCCTTACAAGAGAAATGCTTCCTCACGCTAATCTGCCATCTTGCCTCTCTATGCTTGTACATTTTCTGTACTATATGCTCCCTAGAAGAATGTGGCTAAGTAAATTTTGTATATGTTGGTTATTCTTTAAAAATTTTTCTGTTAGTGCATCATAGTTATACATAATAGCATGGTTCATTTTGACATATTCATAAATGTGTAGAACATGATTTCCTGCATTTCAATCCCCAGTACTTCCTCTTTCCTTTCCTTCTTCCCTTTTCCTAATCCTCTTCCTCTACTTTGTTGGTCTTACTTCGATTTATTTATTGTTTTTACTTGGAACATTATAGCTATTCTATAAAAGTGGAACTAATTGTGATATATACATGCAAGCACATAACATAATTTGGTTAATTTCATTCTTCAGTTTTTCTCCCTCCCCTTCAACCATCTTTCTCTACCCTACTTTTCTCCCTTCTGTTTTCATGAGATCCCTTTATAAATTCTTTATTTCTGGTCCCAGTGGCACATATCTGTAATCCCAGTTACTTGGGAGGCTGAGTAAGGCAAGATGATTGCATTTTTGAGGTCAGCTTTGGCAATTCAGTGAGGTCCTAAGCAACTTAGTGATACAATGTCTCAAAATAAAATAAATAAACTGTGAATGTGGCTCAGTGGTAAAGTCTCCCTGGGTTCAATCCCATGAATCAAAAATAATAAATAAATAAATTACTTATTTCTCTCTTGCTTTCACATATAAGAGAAAACATTCAACCCTTGAATTTCTGTATTTGGCTTATTTGGCTTAGCATGATGTTCTCTAGTTCTATTCATTTACCAGTAAATGACACAATTTCCTTCCTTCTTATGGCATTTTATATGTTGATTATTCTTTGCTCTAAAGAACATCTAAAATTGAATGTTATAATCTTCAGTTAACTAGTTTTACAAGAGAATGTAAACCAACAGTTTATTTCTGGTTTTGGTGTTTTTTTTGCCCTTGGAAAGAAATTTATTTTCATTAATTATTTAGCATTTTACAAATAGGAAGTGATAGTGCTTCTTTGTTATTTTGGTAGTTATCTTTTGTAGTATTGTCCACAAACTGGCTTTTAAACGAACAGTCAGGGATATGTGATATAGAAGTATTCTTATGAAAACACAAGAGACTAGTATAAGCAGAACAGAGAATGAATCACCACAAATAAATGACATTTAAATCAAAGTCCCAGGCTCAGCCTGATCTTTTGGTATTCGGAGAAACTAAGATGACACCAGTTTTGTTTTTGTCCTCCCACCCCCACTTTTTTTTTTTTCCTATTTGAGGCAAAGGAGCTGGGATTTGAAAAGCCCATACCACGGAGTCATTGCTTATGAGAATTCCCTAAGGAACCTAAACTTCCAGGCTCTTCTGATTTTGAGCAGCTTTAGTAGCCTAAGGGAAGTTCTCTGAAGAAAGTTACACTGTGTACACCCAGAGAAAAGGAGCATAGCACAAGTATATAATATCTTAGGTGATAAGGGCTTAAGGGCAGAGCATCCACAGCATTTGCTTTTCTCTTTTATCTCACCCTTCTATATTCATAGTTAAAACAAAAACTAACATTTTTTTCCATAATGGCAATGATAATGGTATCTTTGGGTAAACTATGTTATTTAATCTAAACAATTATTACTTTGAATAAATTAACTCGGGGTCCACTTCAACTCTAAAATGACCCAAATCTGTGTTTATGTACCTGCATAGTGACACTCTATATTATAGAACACACTTGAAAGTGGAATTTACAATCTTTGTTAAATTTTTTAAAATAAAAGTTTTCAAACCTTTTAAGATAGATATGTTGTTAATAAAAACAAAGGCAGTGGGAAGAAAAAGATAAATAATTCGTGTCAACATCATTAAAGGAATCTGGGATACTTAGAAATATTTCACTGTATTTACTGCTTATGAAAATTTTATTTTATTGAAATATAATGTTTTCACTTTTAGGTTTTCACTTCCAGTTACAGCAACAGCAGAAAACTGTATTCTTACTATATATCCATATTTGGCAATTCATCTTGATAAGCAAAAAATTATTTTAAAGGATGGTAAGTTGTTTAGGATTGTTTTCTCTCTAACTCATTGTATAGATTCTTGTTACCCAGGGCCAATATCTAGATATAGAGTGAATTTTAAATTAACAGGTGTTTATTAAACAGCTGCCATTGCCAGGACTTGTGTTTCTTATTAGTAGAATATGACAGTGTCTCTTGATTCCAAAAGTAAACAATCTAATAAAAGCTACATAAATAAATTATTTACTAAGAATATTTAATTAAGGACTTTATATATGAACCAGTTGAAGTGTTGGGCATGTGGAGGTGGTACAGAGATTATTGCTGATGTTGGGGTTCTGGAATGATTTATAGAAGAGATGACATTCATGTAGAGCTTGACAAATGATGATCTTTACCAGGATGTTTTGTGTGAACAGTGAAATAGCAAAAACATAGGGTTGTAATGGGAGACATAAGGCATGAGATGGAGGTGCAGGGCCATACTGTTTAGCCCTTTACTTTATAGTACTGGGAACATTCTGTGGATTTTTGAATATCAGTGATTTATAAAGGGAGCAGTTGCTGGGATATATTCATATAAAATAAATTAAGGTAGCATAGAGAATAGTCAGTAGAACAGCTGAGATTGCTGCAGGAGAGATTGTGAGAAAAGCTAAGATCAAAGGTACATAATTACAAATTGAAAGCAGGAATAAATTTCAGATCAGTTGTCAGAAACGTTACTGTAGTTAATAATTACACATTGTGTTCTTAAAAAATGTAAAGAAAGTGGTGGATATAATGTGTTCTCATCACAAAATTGATAACTATATGAGATAATGTATTTATAAATTAGCTAGATATAACCATTTCACAATGTATGCTTCAAAATAACAGGGTAGACACAATAAATATAGAAAGTTATCTGTCAATTAAAATTAATTAATTAGAGCTGAGCATATGGCTCAGTGGTAATTTCCTAGCATGTGTGAGGCTCTTGGTTTAATCCTCAGCAAAAGTATAAACGAAGAAACAAATAAAAAACAATTAATGAATTAATTAAAAAGAAAATAAGGACAAGAAAAAAAGCAAAAATGTTTTAAAAAAAAAAGTTAGTGAATAGGGAGAAATTGAAATGAAAGGCACAGAAGAGAACGAATGATGGAGTAAGTCCCAGAGAAGAGAAAAGATGAAGCATGGGGAAAAAGACTCCATCTTAGTAGTCTGTCAAGTCCTTAATTTTTAGTGCTGAGTTAGAGGGCTTTTCTGTGTTTTAACCAGTTTTCTCATTTTTTCCACTTGCTTCTTCAAACATTTACCAATCTGATGAAACCCATTCAAACTGTTCTGTCTCAATCTCAGAGAATGCCATTTTTCTGACTGTTGAAAAGAGATAGAGACCATCAGACAATAACGCTCTGAAGTTCCAAATACCAAGCATGTGCTGGAACCCATCATACCTCCTTTTCCTCTAGTCACAAGGATAGAAGCAGTATGCTGTTCTACCTCAGGCCCTTCCTTTATCTAAATCTCATTACCCAGAAACTCTGCTATATCGAATAACCTTGCTTATACTTGCTTATCAATTTTTGCCTCCCTCTTACGTGCTTTAGTTCAGTTTCCAGGAAGTCAGCAGGGAGGAGAAGGGAGACTTTATATTTTTAGGAAAATTCCAAGGAGTAAACAGGGAAGATTTAGGCCATGTATTTATTCCTTACTTATTCCTTACTTACTGTCAAATTCCCAGAGATAGGGAGAAAAGTAGCAGAGGAAAGTAAGCAATTAGAATACCTCACCTCCCTTTAACAGGAAATGAATTATAGGGTGCCGCAGTCTGGCTGGGCACAATTCAGGAGCCACTTGTCAAAATAAACGAACTTTATTTTTAGAACACACACGCCAAACCACACAGCTCTTCAGGAAAACCTTCAGAGCCCAACTGCCACCACCGCTTCCCACAAGCCTCTCAACCTCCCCCACTCCTCCTGCTCTTGAGGCCTATTGGCTGGGTCACATGGGCGGAGCCAAAAAAAGTCCCCCAATGAGCAGCTCCGTGGTCTGAAAGGGTGGGGAAACAGCCCAATGAGCATCACCGCAGAGGAGCCAATCAGTTGGCAGCTAGAAGTTTGCTGGGGCCGCTGTAAGCCAATCATCAGCTGGCAGCTGGAAGTTTGCTGGCAGCTGGAAGTTTGCTGGGGCACCTTCGGCTGTGGCTCTCAACAATAGGGGTGATCAAGAAACATTATTTGCCTACTGAGCATGTCTAAGAGTGTTGATTATTCCCCAGTTCTCTTTCTTGAGACTATCTCTGGGCTTCTACATGCCATACATCTCTGGGTTTTCTCTAACTTAAAAGCATCTTTCATGAATTCTTCTTCTTCTCTCTGTATTTTTAAATTCTTTTCATCTGTTGGAGTTCTGACCCCTCTTCTCCCTTCTATGGCTTCAATTATAATACATGGGATATATCTCCAATGCTAATCCCTTTCAGAGATTCAGGAATTCAGAATTCAACTGAATTCTGGACGCCTTTCATTGTATTCCCACAGGCCTCCCCCAAACAGCATGACCAAAACTAAACTCCCCTTTCTCATTCTTCTGTATATCCTACTTCTGTAGATTTACCTACAACAGATTAGGTAGGTCCTTATCCAGATACTAAACTGTCATCCTTAATGATGTCATCTCTCTATCATACTACACTTCCAGTCCAACAAATCCTATTACTTTGCCTTCTAAATGCCTCTCAAATCATCTCACTTCTTTCTCTCTCCAGTGACAGTACATACATTCAAGTTCCTGTAATGTCTTCTTAGGATCAATGCAGATTTCTAAACTATTCTCCTGCCTCCTCTGAAGACCCCATATGGCATTACCCTACACAATGACCTTATTCTCATTCCAGACAACTTTCCCTTTATGTTCAAGCCACAATAAACTTCTGTAAGTTTTTCTAGCATCCAGATATTACTAATAATCTTTCCTATCTGGAGCATTTTTCTACAAAACTCTACATCATCTGCATACCTAAAATCATTCCTGCCTCTACGAGCAAGGGTTTTGCATTCTCTGGTAAATGTTCATAGTTTTGAGCAATTTCCATCACTGCCCTTAACACATTTTTACTTAATATGCCTATTACCTGTATCCCTTTCTAGATATTGTTATCTATAAGACATTGAGAATGGGAATCATTTCTCTCCTTTTCACTCTTGTATCCACAATGCCTCACACAGTGTGTGGTAGATAAAAAGGTATTTATTCAGTATTACAGAATGGGTCGTCTGAATTATAGAACATCAGAAAGGCATCTCTTAGCTATACATTTTCATAAGAGAGTGGTTATATGTGGAATAGTGTCTTCTGAGCATAAAAAAATCATTGAAAGCAGTTTATGGAATTATCTAATTGGCAGGATGAAGAGAAATACAAAGATCTCAGAATTTTGACATATTGTCAAAATTTAAAAGATTTTTCTGACTAATTCTAATATGTTATATTTTTATATTCTTCTAATGTACTGGGGTAGGAGAGAATTTCTAGAATGCAATATAAAGGAATAGGATTGGGTTCAGACAAACACAACCTGGAGAGAAATTCTCTTTTGTGTTTTAAACTCATTATTTTGCCATATGATTTTATTTTTAATTCTCAGGTGCTCAAATTTATCATCTTTCATTAAACAACATGTATATATAAGAGAATAGCAGGATATTAATAATATGTGTTTTATCTATTCAAAGGGCTTTTGTGATAACTCATAGACTATAAATACCTAGAAGGTATTATTTTTACTATGGTTTCATTACTACTGCTATTATCACTGATGGTGATTGCTTTATCACTTTTGTATTTTTATAATATCCTATAAAAATGAGTAATTGCTATATAATTGGTAATATTGTTACAGCTTTAAAAGAAAAAAAATGTATAAATTCTTTGTGTTTCTTTGATGATTGAACATGAAATGCATGGACTAAAAATAATACATCCATTTGGGGAAATATTTGTAGAAGTATGTATAATAATTTCTAGTATATATTTAATGCTTTCCAGGTATGTGATGTTCTGCTAATTTCCTTGCATTTGTTACATAATTTAGTCCTCCCAAAAATTCTAAGTTAGATACCCTTATAGATCTCACTTTACAGATTAAGAAGGTGACTAATGGAGAGGCTGAGAAGCTTGTCCCAGGGGATTCTATCCAAGTTTGTGAGACTTCAGGATATACATATTTAGCTACTGTGCTCTATAAGATAGCATGCCCAATAAAGGTGAAATCTTAAATTAAGTATACCCCTAAAGCAAGGCAGTATAATTAATTGGTTACTGCTTATATGCTAGATTTAAACAGAATGATGTGAACAAATGACTTTGGTTGAAAGGATGGAATTGGGGCTTTGTACTCACTGTAGGAACTTTTTATCATTTGATAAATTTAAAACCTTGCCTAATGCATCTTCAAATAGTTTTATCACTGAACTATCTAAAAGTTACTCCTATGTAGACTATCATGGCATAGCTTTCAGGGGAATATGGATACCTATTGAGTGTAAAATAGTTAAAAATATCTATGAGATTCTGTAACACACACATACACACACACACACACACACACACACACACACACATACAGTTGTATATTCTGATGTCTGGACTTACATAAACATGTACTGGCGTTGATCAGCACTGCCTTTGGTTGGTTGAGATTTCTGCTTTGCAAACCCCCTCTCTAAATATACATAGTAAATCTAGCAGGAAGATACATTAAATTTGTTTATCAGCTCATAACCAAGCAGTGATTTCACTTGAGTGAGTTAACTAGGAAAAAATTACTTTTGTTAGTAATAATTTTCTTTTATCTTTTTTTGAACATCATATGTAATAATTCCATTTTGGGGGTATTGAAAATTTAAAATGTTTTAAATATTTTTATTTATCCTAAAGTTGAATGTTGCTTATTCTTCAATAACTTTGATATACTATAATAATTGCCTTATCAAATAAATTTTAGTTTAAAAAGTCATTATCAATATTAAATTTTTGTCATCTTATTTGAAGTATAATAAATATTTTAGACTTTTTTCTATTATTTTTATATAAATATGAAATTCAGGTTAAGTAATTTGCTGGTGAATTCCATGAATATTTATTTTACTTACTATTGCCCAATGTGTCACTTGTAGATAAAGATGGAAGTCCAATGAAGTCTAGAGGCAGTTTTATGTTTCCCCACCAGGATGTCGAATTACCCTCTTCTGCTTCAATAAATATGACATCCACTGCTACTAAATTTAATGATGCCGAACTTACAAGTGGAAACTTATTTGTTGGTATGTGGCAAATATAGTGTATTTCTCAAATTCAGTCCTTGATGTGGTCTGCTTAATATCTTTTTTAAAAGTTAATTCTTTTCTAGTAAGAAATCCATGGATTTGTCAGTAGTTTTAAGTAGGTCATCTGCTTCAAGAGTTCTCTCCAATGAGCAATAGCAGATCTTGATTTGCAACACCTCTAGTATTTAAATACATTTCCCTAGGCCAAAAAGTAAAAATAGTTGCATTTATTAACTGGTTTAGTACAAAAAAACCTTGAGAGTAGTTGCTTATGTATGCTGCCTAACAGATGTTTCAGTAATATTTAACAAACAAGCAAAATATCCAGTGGATGTTCTGTAAATTTTTTGTGACATTATAGGAGACCTCTGTACAGAGTTTGGGAACTGCAGAACTATGGTTTTGTCATTTCATTATCTAGGTGGACCCATGGTTAAACCATCTTTTAAAAAGTGAACACTGCTAAATATGCATTTGATATTACTTGCAATTAACTGCACAAATATTTCTTTCCCTAGATATGGGTAATATTGAAACTTTTTCTTTTTATTGAATGGACCAAACCAACTTAAATAGTGTGAAGATAGTTTCCAGTTAGTTTGCTTTTGTGTCATGTAATAGGCAGATATTTTTGAAAAGAAAATTGATAATATCATTCTATATTTTTGAAATTTTCCATAATTCAAAAAGTATTTTGTTTTATTTAAATACTTAATTTAAAGAGAACATCATTTTGAATCTGAAATCAATATTTTTGTTCCTATAATTCTTTCAGCTGAAGTTTAGTTTTGTCTAATAAACAAAGGTTAAGAATTGTCAAGACATTTTTCTTATGTAGTTAGAAGTAAAAGCTTCCACTTTGGGAATATTTTCATATACCATTAAGGCAAAAAGAAAATAGAATTGTTTCCTTTTGAAATTCATAAATTTTAAAAACATTATTTGAGTATTTGAATGTAAGTATATTCTCATTATTTATTTTGCAATATAGTAAATTGACTCAGAGGAATAGATATAGCTGTAAGAATATTTTGCTCTGTTGTCAAGTAATCATTTTTATAAACAAATGTGAATTTTAGGAATGGACACATTACAAGAAGATTTGGACTTTGATGAAAGCAAAACACCAAAAAGGGCAGATGATGGAAAGGAGGAGAAAAATGAGCAATTCTTTTCTCTGGAAGAAGGATCAAAGGCATATAACTTCTTTCAGAAGGTTGTAAATGCAGCCCAGACATGGTTCAGTCTCTTTGGCTGGCCTGAAGGACCTCATTCTCTTTCCATTCCAGAGTCTATAAGAAGGTGATAGTTATATGTTTCTCTAAATTTCTTTCTTCATATCATATTCTGAAATATGATCTGTTTATTGGGTTAATTTTAAGTGAAATGAAATATTAAATTATTGGTAAGCTATTAAAAGTGATAAGTTATAAATAAGCTAGAAAGAAGAGTAAAAAATGGAAATATAAATTCTTTAGGCTACATATAATATAATTTTAAATTTCTTCTAAATATCTGATAATTTTAGGAAAGTACTGAAAAATCACTGGACCTCAATTTCCTGATGTGTGAATTAAGAAGGGTAAACTATGAGTAGAAAAAGTCCTTTTAAATTAAAAAAAATAGGAAATCATACATTTTAATATAAATAAGCTATCAGTTCTAGATCCAGAGTATAGTTCAGTATACAGATGGTAGTATTTAAAAAAAAACATTTTTTTAGTTGTAGATGGATATGATACTTTTATTTTATTTATTTATTTTTATGTGGTGCTAGGATCCAACCTAGGGACTCGCATGTTCCAGGGGAGCTCTCTACTGCTTACCACAATCCCGGCCCTTAGATGGCAGTATTAGTGAACAAGGCCAGATTTCCTTTAACACTGTCTCCTCTTTGACAACACATTTACATTCCTCCTTTCAAGTGTTTTATTACTCACCATGTCTAAAATTGTTAAACTTCTTCAGTTTTATCAAATTACTAACCTCTGCTGTTCATTTAAACAAGCATTTGGGCATCTCCCTTGTTTCAGTGTTGCTGTTATAATGGAACCTCAGAACACTTTTTTGCCTCCTTTCTCAGCACTTGTAGGTTTAGCTAAATCTATAATAATTTTCCAATATGTTATTGCTTTTCTTTTTTTTAATGGACAATTTCAATTTCACTGACTTAATTGACGAATATTTCTTTATGCTGTGGGGAAAATTAATGCAACAGAAACTGAAAATTTCCATATTTGATCATAAAATCAACTGGCTAGAGGGAATTTTTCAGAAACTTTTCAGTTTTTTGCTTTGGTGTTTGTTTCACTAAACATTTTACCTGAGTTAAAAATTTAAAGTCATTATACCTTAATGATTTATTTTCATTTTGGGGAAAAGCATTGATTAAGCATTTAAAAATTATTGTTCATCACTTGTGACTAGTGTTTCTGTTTTAAAATTCTCCTTTATGAAGTTTTAGTCTGATCTTAATTTAAAATTATAATTTTATTTTTTCTTCATTTTAGGTTTTATCAATTTATTTATTTATATATTTGGTTTCATATAAGTTTTTGGATAAATTTATCCATTTCTGTGTTTCTTAAATCACGTGATGCTGTTTTGTTTTTTTTCTTATGATTCATGTTTTCTTTAAATTTGAGTTGTGTTTTTAACTATTTTCAAGCCTAAAAATTTCTCTTTATTCCACTTTGGCTGCAATGCAGAAATTTTGCCACTAAGCATTCTAATTTTTGTTGTTTTTATAAGCCTTAGGATTTTGGTTTTAATTTTCTGCATGCCTTTTACTATTATACTGATTGGTAATGTACAATATATTATTATAAACATACAGCATTATTTACTTGCCAATTCACATTCATCAGGGGGCATTTACTTATGCTATTTCATTATATTTTGTTTGTATAAATAATGCAGAGATGAATACATTTGTTTATAAATAGTAGCAGGCATTTTTTGATTTAAATAGAAAATATCTCAGAGGTGATATGATGAGACCAAACAACACACACTTGTAAAAGTCTCTTCAATGCATTCTGGGACAATTTTCTATTAAGCATTCTATATTATTAACCTCACTAATGAGACACATTGAATGGCTGGCTGTTTCCTAATGAAGTTGACTACTGTAACAGTTTAAAATCTTTACTGTACTATTTTGATAAGCGAGAAACAGACCTCATCATTGGGTATTGCCTAGAAAAAGACTATTCTTGATGAGAATGAAGCCTTTCTATTCCTGGGAAGAAAAGCTGCCTACAACCAAAAACTTTGAACAAAGATTAACTTTGTCCAGATAACAAAGTTATTCAAAGCCATTTCTTGATTTGGAATTTCTGGATTATGGGCACTCAGGCTAAGAAGAGTTCTCCAAGGTCATGTATTGTTACCAATATTGAAAGCCCCTTTCAATGTCTCTTGCATTACTCCATCATGGGGAAGCATCCAGTGTTTCTCATGAGAAGTTTAATGTCACATTTGGGGAATGATATGTTCATTCTTTTAGATCTCTTTCATAGTTCCTATTTCTCTGTTATTCTGTAGTTTTGTAATTTATTAGATTAAAATGTCAGCATCAAGTTCTTCATCATCATTCAATATCCTTGGCATTCATTAAGCCCTATGTATTGAAAACTAATCATTTAACCCTTATTTTCTGCCTCCTGTTATATTATTTGCTTCCCTCTGTTTTTTCTATTCTCTCAATCTTCTATTACAAGGATAGGGGAACTATTTTACTGATCCTTCATTTTGCTCTCAATTACTTTTTGTCTTTCACCTTTCTTGTACTTTAATTTCTTATGCTTGTAGCATTCTACTTTTTCTGTAAATATTTTAATCAGTATTTATAGTTCATTTTCCAAACATGCTGTTTTTCTTTAATTATTCCCTTTCTCCTTCCCTGATCTCTTATTCTTTTCTCCCTATTCCTTCCCCTTTTTCCTTTTCTTCCCTTCTTCTTTATGTCTTATATACCATTCTGTTTTTGAATTATAGATACATGCAGAAATTTTGAGTAGCTCATTTACAGTATGAGTGTTTTCATCAGTTTTAATTTTCATTGAATTATATCATCTCTCCTGAGTTCTTCATTATTTTATATTTTTAATTTGATTTTTGTTTCAGTTGTTAATGGTTTTCCTTAATTATTTCTAGTTTTGATTATCATTCATATATATATATATATAATATATATATATAT